GGCCCGGAAATGCGGCTGCAGCCCGCAGTCCTGCGAGCGGGCGGGCGCGCACCCAGCCCCGTCGCCCCTCTGGCCTCCCACGGTCCTTGAAGGGGCACGTATCCGAGGGACCCGACCTGGCGTGGGGTTAGGAGGGGACCGCATCTGGATGCACGCCCCCCGGGGACGTAATAGTCCTGATTATCTGCGTTACCCACCGCCCCTGCCCCACTCTTAATCCCCGCAGCCATCCCGAGGCAGCTTCTGCTCTTCTTTTGGCGGGGGAACTGAGGTCCAAAGAGGTCTAGCGGCTCTCCCGAGGTTATCCAGCGGATAAGAGGCAAAGCTGGGATTCTTACTTTGGCCTGAGCCCACGGTCTTGGCGGTAGCATCAAGGACAGATTCTTGGAAAGGAAGAGCTAAAGGTATCCATCAGTGTTAGACCCCTGGGAGCCAGAGCCTGGAAACGAGCCAGTTACTACTGTTGAGCATCACGTCCTCCAGGTGGCAGGCTCCTGATGCCCCTGTCCTACCAGGCTGAGTTGGTGTCTGCTGTGGGCTTCCTCCTTTCCCTTTCTCGCCTGAGTGTGTTTAAACATGTCTGCCACACTAAACTTGTCTTGTCCCCTGCAGTGGCCCCAGTACCCAGCCTGGCCTAGAATAGTAAGTACACGTTTGTGAAAGACAAACGTGCTTCAAGTTAATGACGTACTAGGGCTGGAGAGGGCTGAGGAATTTGGGGAGCTCCTGGAGTAGGAAACATGGGAGTGGAAGGTTGGAATGGCTGAGGCAGCAGATGGGTGGTGCCCTGAACTCAGCTGTCTCAACCATGCCCACCCTCTGCAGCCAGGTGAGGAGGCCCACAGGGGCAAGTCAAGTCCCTTGCTGTGTGCTTGGCACTTTTAATGGCCTCAGAAGAATGGAACCATTATCTGTGGCTCTGAAGGGACATTCCTGAGGAGAGTGGAGGCCAGGCTGGCACAGGGTGTGGCATTACTCTGGCTGGAATGTGGTTGAACCAGTGGGTCAGCCCAGTTAGGGCTGGCCTCTTCTGTCCTACGCTACCATCTCTAAAGTTTTCTAGCATCTCCACCCCCCCCCCAAAAAAAAGAACACAAAAAGGACTAAAAATAAAATATTTATTGGAAAAGAGAAACACTGGAGAGGGCAAGGGCCTTTGGCTCAGGAGACCTGGGCAGCTGCTTTATGGCTGTCCAGGTAGCGCCTCAGGGCTGTAGGGTAATCAGTCATGACGCCAGTGGCCCCCAGACTGTAGGCCACTTCAAAATCGGATTCTTCATTAAGGCACCAAAATACCACCTGAGAGGGGAGAGAGGTTCTGGTAGTTTCCAAACAGCTTTACCTGGAACTCCCCCATGCATTCAGATGGCCAGAGCTCTCCTCTGTGGAGACCACCCAGCAGCAGTATGGTAGGGAGTATTAAATTTTTAGAAAATTTTCAAATTGGTTTTGAACACAGCCATTATTAAATATTAAATTGTATAAACTTGCAATTCAATAAACTATATAAAAAACAAAGGCAATCGCCCTTTGTTTGACTAGTGTGGCTCAGTTGGTTGAGCATCGTCTTGTGCACCAAAAGGTCACAGGTTGGATTCCCCATCAGGGCACATACCCAGGTTTCCCGTTCAGTCCCCAGTAGGGGCGCGTATGGGAGGCAACTGACCAATGTTTCTCTCTCACATTAATCTTTCTCTCTCTAAAATCAATAAAATCATAAAAAACAAACAAACCAAAAACAGCCCGGCCGGGCATGGCTCAGCGGTTGAGCGTCGACCTAGGATCCAAGAGATCGAGGTTTGATTCCCGGTCAGGGCACATGCTCGGGTTACGGGCTCAATCCCCAGTCGGGGGCGTGCAGGAGGCAGTCGAACAGTGACAACTCTCTCATCGTTGATGTTTTTTTCTCTCTCTCACTCTCCCTTCCTCTCTCTGAAGTCAATAAATATATATTTAAAACCAAAACCAAAAAATCCAACAAAAACAACAAAGGCAATAAAATCTAAAAATTCATCACTTCCTAATATTTCTACTACATTTTACCATCTACCTATGCTCTGGAGGTTATTTATGTTTGTCAAATGTGTACGATGGAAATACTCTGCAATGATGTGCTTCCTCACACCTCTTCCCAACTCTATGTTCAGTGACTTCATTTTGGTAGCCTGACATTGGCTGAGGTAGAAGTACATACACCAGGAAATGCTCAAATCAGGGTGTGTCTTCCCCTGCCCCCAGGCAGTTGCGGACTGTTCACCAGCATGCCAGTGCCTCTGTCTGCCTGCACTGCGGCTGCTCCGGATCTCCCCTGACTCCTGAGTTCTCTCCTGTGGGCACTGACATAGGTGGGATGGGATCTGGGCCTTGGGCAAGTCACTGGACCCCTGGGTTTCCTAATGTAACAACTAAGAGTTATGGTTGTCCCAGCCTCCTAGGGCTGTGATGAAGCCCCAAGGAGTGGGAGGGCTGATCTGAAAGAGCTCCCTCATCCTCACTCCACATCCAATCAGTGGCTTGTCTGTGAGTAAACGCTTCCACCCATCCCCACAGTTGAGCCCAAATCCTGTCAGTGGCAGCATCAGTCTCCTCATGAGACTCTCTGCTTCTACAATGGCTCCCAACAATCCTCCACATGGTGGCTGGCATGACCCTCACTCAACAAATCTCAATTGGATCATGTCTCTTCCCTCAAAAGTTGCCCTTCCCTTTGGGCTGAAGTCTAGACTCCTTACTGAGGACCTTGGGTTGCTTGCCGCAGCCTCCGCCACCTTCCCTAGCTCCGAGTGTGCTGCTTCCTCCACACTGTAGCCCGGTGGAACCCCTCTCCCAGTGTCTCAGACTGCCAAGGCCTCTTGCTCCTCTGGGCTTTCCCACATGCTGGGCCTCTTGCCTGAGATGCTCTCCCTTGCCCCTGCCCTTAAGACAGCTCCTCACTTCTTCCAGAAGGGCCTTCTCTGATCCCACAGACCACCATACTGTTTCCTTTCTGTCCAAGAGTTGCCCCTGTGATAATCTGCTTCATTCCCTCCCCTCCCCTTGTGGTAACTCCCCACTCAGTCCTCAGTACCATAGTGCCTAGAATATATTCTCAACAAAGGTTTGCTAATTAAATGACCTGGTCAGAGCTCTGCCCAGCCCCTCATCAGCGAATGGCACAGTTCAATACATCACCATAATGGCTGGCACTTATCAGGCCCTTGCTAAGTACCAGTTACGCATCCAGAAGAGTCAATTATATCATTACCCCATTTCCAAGACTCAGAAGGTGACCTGCCCAGTGGCAGAGCTGTGACTGGAATGTGTGCTAGGCCCACTCTGGGAACTGAGGGGGGAGGGGTCAGGCCTTACCTGCACTCCTCGCTGCTCCAGGTGCTGGATCAGACTTTTCCTCATGATGAGCCTGGAGGGGAGGGGGACGGCAAAGGGCATGATGGGGGGACTGAGAAGGGCAAAGGCAGGTCCCTATGGGGACACTCTACCCAGCCTTCTCGCCCACCTCACCATTTAGAAACCACAGCTGCCAGCTGGTTCAGCCCAGAGCAGGAGAATGGGAAGTAGGTCCTGTGGAGAGGTGGAATAACCGTCAGTCCACGGGCCTCTCCCTGTAACCGTCAGTCACAGGGGTGGGGAGTTGGGGCTGTAGTGATCCCTGACCAGTGAAACCTACCCCCTCTAAAAGAACCTCTGCAGTTGCCAGACGGACAATTCACCCATTGTTCAGTGAGATCATTGTTCAGTGATATTCCTATATCCCTGACTCCATGCTCTAAGGGTGTGCCCACCCCTCACTGTTTTGCAGAAGGGGAAACTAAATCTTGGAGAGCTATATTAACTTGCCCGAGGTCACACAGCAAGTTTGTGGTGGGGCCAGGACTGAAACCCAGCTTGATTCCCAAACTGGACACACAATCTGGGTGTCCTCCTGGTTGGGCCTGACCAGCTTCCTGAGACCAGACATCATTTAATGGGTCGATTACTTGCTCCCTAATTGTCCCACTCTAGGGGTGACTTTAGAGGCCTTCACAAAGTCCCAGGGCAGGCTTTGGAGTCAGGCTCAGGGCAAACCAGGCTCTGTTCTTCTAGCTGTATGACCTCCAGCAAGTGACAGAAGCTCTCTGAGCCTGTTTCTCCATGGGTACTGTGGGGTCATGATTCCTGTACCTCCTAGGGTGCTGCAAAGTAAAGCTCAACTAAACTAAAGGATGTAAAAACACTGTAAATCCTGTTTAAAAAGTTATGTACACAAAGTTCTACAGTATAAAGGTGTCATTGTAACAAAGGATTGTGGGAGCTGGCTGGGACCCTCTCTCATGACAACAGAGGGGAGCAGAGGCACTGGGGCCACCACAGAGAAGTTCTCCAAAAGCAAAGGGAGGTGCCCGGCCTGAGAGCTGGTGAAATATCCAAACTCCTCATACTTTACCCAGATGTTACTTTGTGAATACTTGTCTCCCAACAGGAAAACACTTGCTTTTCCTTTTCAGAACCAGTGCTATAATTAATTAATGCCTGTCTCCCTAGCCAGACTGTAAGCTGAGGGCCTCACCTAGCCACACTGGTCTTTATTACTAGTGTAACTGCACTTGGAACAGGGTAGGCATTCAATAAATATTTGTTGGATCAATGGATGAGTAAAGGGACCCTCTGTTCTAAAACTCTATCCACATCTACACACATCTGCACTGAATTTCAGGGGGTTCATGGTCAGCTTGGTATTCATGAATGCTGGGTGAGAACCGCTGTCTTCAAAGCACCATGGGGGTTATCCTGAGGGGAGCTGGGGACCCTACAAAATGGGGCTTCAGATGGGGGCATGTTTTTCTGAGGACAGAAGCAGCTGGGAGCCTGGGGGAAGATGGAGGGAGATGGGGACCCTGCGGGTACCTGTTGATGATGGTGGGCAGGAAGCACAAGAGGAACTTCTCGGGGATGGGGAAGAAGGGCAGCAGCCCCAGATAATACAGCAGCAACAGCCGGATTACTCGGCCTCTTGTGAAGGAGAACGGCATCTCAGGGTTCTGGGAGGCAAGGGGGCGTGAGAGGAGATCAGTCTGCTCCTGGGGAAGCAGAGAGGCTTGGGCTACAGGGGAAACAGTTTTGGGACATTCAGGAAATTACTACCTGCAGGATCAAAGCCACATCTTGGCCGAGCACTCAAGGCATAAATGCACCCAATCCGTTCCCACCAGCATGACTTTGCTCACATACTTCCTCTACCTCACCTCTCCAAATCCTCCTCAACTCCCCAGAGCCCTCTAGCCTAGGCCCCTCAGGTGGCATTGGGCTCCAGCTCCTGGGAGGAGGGGCTGCTGGAGCAGGGAGGGAAAAGGGACTCACAGCAGCCTTGCACTTCTTCATGACTGAGCTCTTCTCTGAGGCCCAGATGGTGATTTCATTGCGGTCAAAGTGCCTCACCAGGCTGGCTATCTGGAAGGAGGAGGAGAGGAGATGAAGGGGAGTTAGGCCTCTCTGCAGGCCTGCCCTCCTCCCCACCCCCTGCCCACAGCACCACCTGGTGAATGAGCTTCTCATTTCCCCCTTTGACCTCCACACTCATGGGCGTCCGAGGGAACCTCTGGAACAAGTCTTCCAGGCGCACCATGTGCCTGTCGGACCCGTGTGCAAAGTGGCCTGGGGGTTGTGGGAAGCGACATCAGAGGATTGGTGGGGTGGGGGTGAGAACCCAGGGGAAGAGGGGCAAGTCCCAGAGAAGAGGGGGCAGAGGTCGAGCCCATGACTCCACTCAGGCTGGCCCAGCCCCGGGCTCACGGCCCATACTGTTACCTGGTGAGAAGTAAACCTCCAGCTCTTTCCTGTAGAGGGGCAGCTCCTGGGGAGAGCAGGGCGCATGTCACTAGGAGGCTCTCATGGAGGCTCTCTGGGTATGGTGGGGGGCTAGGGCAAGGCCCACCTCAAACTCCAGGCTGCCCACAGCCCTATTCACGCCTGACTGGCGGTACAGGTTCTCATCGTGTGACACCACCACCACACCATCCCGGGTAAGCTGACAGTCCAGCTCCAGAAGGTCTGCTCGCTGAGCCATGGAACTATGGAAGCAAAGGTCAGTGGTGTGTGGGGCACAGGGACAGGCCGGACTGGAGGGTGGTGGGGAGGGTTAGGGGAGCATGGGGCAGTTTAAAGCAGGATATGCAGGCAGTGCGATGCCTCCAGGGTGCTCCAGTCACCCACACTAGGAAGTAAATGGCACCCCTTGGCTTCATGCCACACCGCTGACACCACCTTATGCAGCAGCTGGGCTTGCTGGGCAGGTGCACTCACTTCTCCATGGCCTCCATGGTGTTCTCCAGCCTCTCTCCAGATCCTGTGTGGGGCAGCGAGGTGGGTCCCTGGGGGCCGGCCCCTCCCTCCTCCCCTCGCCTCACCCCTGCCTCATGACCCGTGGGCCCAGGTGGAGCAGCCTTTTTCCTCATTCCACACCTTGCACTGCCACCGGCTCTCTGACCTCGGCCTGCCCTCTTTCTAAAATTTCGCCCCTCAGACCGCACCCTCTCTGCTGTCCACCTTGGCACATGTCTTGCTCTCCTTATTCCACCGCAGTAGCCGATGTCCTCCCTTCTCCCCCACACCAGCTCACCTCCCCGGTGGGCCCCCAGGCGCAGACGGAAGGCTGGAACCCAGGGTGTGTGCAGCAGGCGAGGCCAGCGCAGGAAGAAGACGGAGAGCAGGGCATAGCTGCCCAGGGCGGGCAGGGCGTAGTACAGCAGGGAGCTCATGGCCGCACTGCCTCCCTGGGCTCCGGCTGCCGCGAGCTCAGCTGTCCCCGATTAATTGTGCTGCCTCACCGATTGCCTGGCTGATGTAGGCTGGTTCCACCACTGGTCACCACCACGCCCCTGAGACCTGCTCAGCCTGCTGCTGGCCCAGGGCCAGGCTGCAGGGCTCAGCTGGGTATGGAGTACAGGCAGGAAGAGAGGCCAGGCAGCTCTGGGCCCTCACACCCACAGACCCTTCAGACTCCAGCGCCTCCCTCTCCTTGGCCACACTGGGAGAGTCAGGTTACCTTCCAGGTCTGCTATAACCTTCCCCTGACCACTCATGTGTGTGGCCAGGGGATACAACACACCACCCCTTGCCTTTTCCAGAAAATCCTGGGTGTGTAGGGTGCCCAAGTCGCCCCTGAATCACCCCAGCCAGTTAGGAAGACATTAGAGAGGGCAGAGGACAGTGACTAAGGGGGAAATTGACCCCACTCTGTCCAGGAATCCAGAGCTTCTTACACTCCCATCTTTACCCTGGCCAGCTGGGGAGCCAAAGGTCACCAGGGCCAGGTAAAGCCACAGCTGGGAAGCAGCTGGGCTGGAGTATCAGTCTTCAAAGCCGCAAGGGTGAGTGACACAGCATCGGCAAACACAGACAGAGCCAAGGCCATCATATACACATCTCTATATTTATATATTAGATACAGGCACAGGGGTGGGCAGGGGCACTGGGCTCTCCACGAGCCCCCCCACCTCCACTTCTGTTCACCACACACAGAAGCAGCAGGAGCGTTAGATGTGGCAGCTTAGGGGGAAGGGGGTTTAGGCAGGGCCCTGCTCCTCAAAGATACTAGCCCTTGAGCCTTAGGAATGTTCCTTGAGGGAAAATGGGTGGGGTTTTAATGAGGTGAGTGGGGCAGGGCTGGCCATGAGTCCCCTACTCAGTGTCCCCCATCCCCCACCATCCTTCAGTAGGTCACAGGGCAGCCAGAGCCCTTTGATTCCAGAACTATCAGACTGGGATGGCTGGGTAGAGGAAGGCAGGACAGCTGAGGGGAATTTGCTTTGGGGCCACCTGAGCCCTGCAGGTCCTGGGAGGGAGGGGATGGGATGGAGGGAGCCTTGGCCTGCCTAAAGCAGGAGGCCTGAGCAAAGCAAGGGTAGGTGGCCAGGCCCACCCTGTGTCCCGACCTGGGCTGCGGGGGTCCGGGCTGGGCACAGTGTCCATTTTCTAACAGTCCAGCAGGGAAGGGGCAGGCAGGAGGCAGGGCCTAAACAAAAAGGCAGGCAGGAAAGGAGCCATTAGCACCCATGAGAGCACCTGCCAGAGCCCTGACCTCAACTTCTCTCATTTTATCCTTATAGTTGAGTGAGATGTGTCTCAGTTTCCTTATCTGTAAATGGGGATAACATTGTACCTATCTCATAGTACTGCTATAAGGATTAAATGAACTCATACACAGAAACCTCTTAGAACAATGCTTAGTGATCTGTGCTTGCTCTTGTTATCAGGACTGTCCCAGGAAACTGAGGTGCAGAGGTGAGGTGTCTTAGCTAGAGTTTGAACCCAAGTGTGTCTGCCTTCCTTTTTTTAGGCTATAGGGCAGAAAGAAAGGAGACTGGAGGAGGGAAGAGCAGTGTGGGTTAGGGAAGGGCCCGCAGAGTCCCCCAAAGGTGTGTGAACTGCTGACCTGGGCACCAGGTGTGAGAAAGCATGGCATCTGGGTCAGGCTGAGTGCTGCTAGCTCCTCCCAAAGCAATTATGGCCCCACCTGCCTCTCTGCCCATATCGGGAGAGGCAAAACCTGGCTCTGGTCCCCAGATGGTTGAGAGAGGCCCTCAGTGACCTCTGAGGTTCCAGAATGGCTACTGAGGCTGGAGGATGCAGGGTATTAACAGGTGGGAGACATTTGGGGCTGTGGGAAAAGAGGAGGGACATGAAGACTGGTAGACCACAGGTCTGTGGCCTGCACAGGATCTGGCCCTTCTCTTGATACCATACACATGGATCATGGGAATGAGCAAGCTTTTGACTGTATGGTACATTGGGTACCCTAGTATCTGGGTGAATCAGTGTGTGGGTGGTGGAGAACACTCACCAAGCCCCAGGGAGCAGAGACATCTGTTCAGGCTAGGTGGCCTCCAGCACCCCAGGCTGGAAGCGGGCTGTCTCCTGGAATATGAGCTCCTTCAGCCTCTCCTTGGGTAGATCATCCAGCTCCATGTCAAAGGTGAAAGGTTCCTCCGCCACTGGCTGTGGGGCATAGAAGTAAGGCTCAGGCCAGATACTGAGATGCCTACCCACCCACTTACCCACCAGACCTGCTGCTGTTGGCTGGCCCACCTCATCTGTTGGGTCATAGTACTGCTCCAGGTAGGGGTGAGCCAGGGCTTCTTCTACTGTAATCCGTTTATTGGGGTTAAAGGTCAACATCCGGTCCAGCAGGTCAAGGGCTAAGGAAGGGCAGGAATCAGGGGTCAAAGGGAAAGTTAGGGAAGTTTTGCTTCTCTATGCCTAGGGGGCCTGTCTACTCAGGCAGCTGCTGGGCTCATGCACCCAGTTTTTATCCCATATCAGCCCCCATGTCTCTCTCTCACCTTTGGAGTCCGACTTGGGGAATAGCTTGGACCAGGCCACCTTGGTCTTGGAAGGCAGAGACTGCAGGTAGTTTCGGGCCTTCATGTTGATGATACAATTCAGGTCCTCCTGGGATGGGGAGCCCAGGATACCTGTGGGTAGGGCAGGTGACTTGTGAGAGATCTTCTCTCCCTTCTGGGACCAGAAGGAGCCAAGAACAAGAGCTCCCACCAACCCATTCCGGGCCCTCATGGTTATCTCCCAGCCAATACTATGGTGGTGAAGTAAGGGGTCTGGATTCGGGCAGCCCTCAGTTCAAATCTCAGCTCCACCACTTCCTAAGTATGGGGTGTGGCCTTGCTTTTCCCATGTATCAAATGGGATAGTATCTACATCGCCTTCAAATACTGTGAGATGCTGTAGAGGCTCCAAACATGGTGGTACCCCTGATCCGATTCCTATAGACTCACCGGCCCTGACCCTAAAGACATCTCACCTACAATAGGCTAATCTCCCTTCCACTCAGCTGGCCAGGGCCCCTCACCCAGAATGTGGTTGAGCTGGTCCAGGTAGTGCTTGCCAGGGAAGATGGGCCGGTTGGAGAGCATCTCAGCCAGAATGCAGCCCACAGACCAGATGTCAATGGACTTGGTGTAGCCCTGGGGAGGAAGAGAAAGTGGTGGGCTCCTGGGCCAGCCTCAACAGGTCCCTGTTGTCTGGGCCAAGCCACCACCCCAACCTAGATTTAATGCTTCAGGGAGGCAGAGAGTAGAGCCCAGGAAGAGCTAATGCTTAGCTTCTTTCCAGATCCCAAGGAGCAGAGTAATGTGAAATGTGACACGGCCCAGGGGGCATAAGGGTCATTGCCTGGCTCAGAGATAGCTCCAGTTCTTTCTGTGACCTGGCCCCTTCCCTTTGGGGATGGGTGGCCCCCCTACCTTGGAGTTAAGCATGATCTCTGGGGCCCGGTACCAGCGTGTGGCCACATATTCTGTCAGGAAGCCAGTGTGGTCATGCTCAGGATCGGCAATCCGGGCCAGGCCAAAATCGCAGATCTAGAATCCAAGCCAGGCCGCTAAGCTCGGTGCTCAAGGTCTCTATGGCCCAAGCAATCACATCACCATGCCTCTGCCCATGTGGTTCCCTCTGCTTGCAATGCTCTCCTATTCCAGGGGACTATTAGTCAAATGGAAGCCCAAGACCCAGAGAGGGAACAGGCACCCAATCCTCTGACCTTAAGGTCGCAGGTGGTGTTGATGAGCAGGTTGGAGGGCTTTAAATCCCGGTGGAGCACGTTGGCTGAGTGGATATACTTGAGGCCCCGAAGGATCTGGTAGAGGAAGTAGCAGACGTGGTCGTTGCTCAGCTGCTGGCTTTTGAGCAACTTGTACAGGTCTGTCTCCATCAGGTCCTGCACAATGTAGCTGAGGATGGTATCGGAGACCCCACAGGTGGGGGTAGCAGAAGGCACTTTGTTAAGAAGAATGGGCTCTGGTGACCACGCTTCACATCCCCTCCAGCTGGCACCCCTAGGATTCAACAGATCTGCCAACCCATATCACGAGCTGGGCAAGGCCCATACTCAGCAGTTGGGCTCGGGGCCTCTGCTGCATCTCAGCTGAGGAACCTGAGCAAAAGCCCTTCAGTTCTGTGGCCTCAGTTTACCTACTGGGAAAAATGGGGACAACACACTGTGGGAGGCAGGAGAACTTCACAGTTAAGAGCAGTAGCTCTGGGGTTAACCTGCTGGTGCCTGAAATCCCCACTCCACTGCTCATTGGTTTTATAACCTCAACCTGTCTGCACCTCTATTTTTTCATCTGAAAAGTAGGGGAAAGAATGGTTTTTTTGAGAGTGGTTTTGACAATGAGATGAGATGACCCATGTAAAGCAGCCAGCCCAGTGCTTGGCACATTGTAAGTGTTTAGCAATCATGAACTAGTATTGCCATTATAAATGCCTGAGCCAAATGGCTGTTGGGAGGGTTAAATGAGATAATGTATGAATACCATCTGGCATGCAATAAATGTTTGCTTAAAAAAAAATGCCTACCTTATGGGAATGGTTTGTGCAAGACAAATGAGGAGAAACTCCCAACAGCATGCTCCTACTCAAAGAGTGCTTGGCCATGCACATCAGAAGACAGAGGAGTAAATGTCCTTATATATTTTAAGATTAAACATACATACATACATAAATGTCTTTTAGCTTGTCTCTTGCAAGAATAAGTCAGGGCTATCTTTTAGAATCAGCCTCAAAAGGGCCTTCTGAGAACATATGGACCAACCCTGCTGTTTGATAGATGAAGAGGCCCACTCAGATGCGAAGGTCACACAGTGAGCTGGGAGTGAATGTGGAGGTTTCCTGCCCACAGTTTGTGGTGGGAGCTGCAGACACTGCAGTACTAATCCCCATGCTTGGGTGGAGAACTGGGACTGCCTGGGGGTGGGTGGAGTGGGGGAGAGGTGACGGGTATTACAAGCTGCTAACAACAGAGCCAGGCAGGAAGTGGACAACAAACTAGGAAAGTGACATGGGGGTAGGGCAATAAAGACAAGGCTGTCCCTCCCTGGGTAAGGTGCAAGTCCACAGTTGATTGGGGTGGATCTCTGAGTGAGAGGTCCTGGAGATAGGACTGGGCCTCTTTTGGAGGAGGGGCAGACAGCAATAGCAGCATTTGATTTTAGGCTTTCTGAGATTCAATTTCATCATCAGGGAGCTGAGATCCATCTCATAGGGCAGTTGGGAGGTGGAATTAGAAATGTTAAAGCCCTAGGTATGCACTGCACCTGACTCATAGTAGGCCCTCAAAAAAGAGCAGTTTTCTCTTTGTCTGCTTGTCTTCCAGTTTGAGGACCCAGAGGGGAAAGAATAGTCTGTTAAACAAAGACTGTGGGCAGAGGCTGGATCATGTCACAAAACTGCAGGCACATGTCAGAAGACAAGCACCCATAGAGACCATCTTGCCCAGCCCCCCACAGAGGCACAGAATAGAGAACAGACTTGCCCAAGGCCACACTGCCTGGCTGTGGCAGGCCAGGATTCATCTGAGGCCTCTCAGTCCTCTTACATTCAGTGGCCTCTTTTCTGCTAGAAGGTTTCTTTTACTGGATTTGTTTTGGAGGGTGACAGGGAAGAAGGAAACAGAAAGAAACCCAATGTTCTCCCAGCCCAACTCTGAGGCCGTGCCTGGCCAGCCAGCTGGCCAAGGTGAAGGATACACGTCCCTCATGGCATCCAGGGTAGGTGCCCGAAGAATGTCTCGGATGCTGATGACATTCTCATGGCGGAAGCGCAGCAAGATCTGGATTTCCCGCAGCGTGCGCTGGCAGTAGGTCTGATGCTCGAAGGGGCTGATTTTCTTGATGGCCACGCGTGTCTCACGTACATGGTCGTAAGCTGAGCTGAGAGGGCCAGAGAGGTATTGTTGGTGTGGTCTTACAAAGGGGGAGTCCAGGCCTGGTGGCCCCACCCAGGCCATGGCAGGGAAGGGAGGGAGCAAGAGAGGGCTCTGGCCAAGTCGTAAACAATGCTGGTTCCTTCCTGCTGTGAAGGCCTGGGATCTCCAGGGAGAAAGCTGGGGACCAGCCAGGCAGTCCTTCAGTGACTTCACAAAGAGAGGAAGAGACTGACCGCTCACAGACTTCCCCTCTCCTCAACCCTTTCCATTCTAGTTGCCCGGACCCCTCACCCTCCCCTTCCCATGATGGGCTCCCTCAACCCAAGACAGGTCCAGGGGCTGGGAGATGAGTGGAGGACATACAGTGAGGCAAATACAGGGAGAAGGAAGGAGTCATAGGAGGACCTGGAGGGAAGGGACAGGGCAGGCACGGCTGTCAAGGCAAGGTACCTGGGCAGCAGGGCTGTTCCCAGATGCACAAATGCCCAGGGCACACAGCAGGTTTGGGAGAACTGACAGACCCCTCCTAAAAGTTGCAGGGAGGCACTCCTGGACCCCTCATGGCTCACTGGGCCCCTGGCCCTAGGCCCAAAGCACTGCCCCACCCTGGCCAGCCCTGAGTTCTGCTCTTCTTTCCCAAACTCCTTGGCAGGCCCCCCTGGGGGAGGGAATCCAAGGCATCCTCTCCCCAAAGGAGGGTCCTTCATTCCCTCTTCGCTAAGGATAGAATCGTCCGAAGAACACTATTCTCTTCACCTCACCCCATGTCTCCAAGGTCCCCAAGGTCCCCGCAGCTCCCCGCCATATACTCAGATGCCCCTCCCTCCATTACGGAATGGTCGGTTCAAAGGCTCCAAGCCCCTCTCCTTCGAACGCACGCAGAAAGCGCTCAAAGGCCCTCTCCCAGGGACGCTCCCCCGCCTCGCGAAGCCCCTGCCGTTTCAGGACCACGGATCTCCAAGGCCCAGAAAGTACTCAGCACCCAGCACCCTCCCGGCCCCCCAGCTCCCTCCCCCTGGGACGCCCCC